TTCTGTGTGCTTTTCTCCCCCGAGCTTAACTGTATTCATGTCATCATGGCCAACCCTACTTTGAGTAGGCATTTTTTTCCACAATCGCTTTCTGAGTGCCCTCCCACCTTCCAGTCCAATATCTGACAATGTTTCTCTGCTATGCATAGAGTTTTCAGTGACTAGCTATATATATGAATAATTAAATGAGTTCATATAGTCTTCAAATTCAAGACACATTTATCAAATCATCACATTACCTCAAAGTAACAAAACGCTTAAAATAGTAAACATAAACAATATCTTTTTTTTATAATTACTTTTAATTATCATAAAAATATATAAAACAAAAACATTGATATTTTAATAATTTGAAGTGTATCCTTCATTGATATTAAGTATATTCATGATGTTGTGCTATGCTCACAAGCTGGTTACAAAAATTTTACATAACCCCAAGCTGAAACTCAATATACTTTCAGCATTAACAGCAACTCTTATTCCCTCAGTCCCTAGTAACCACTAATAAACTCATGTGTCTATACTTTTATCTACTGTGGATATTTCATATAAGTGGTATCACTTATATGAAAATATTTTCACTCTGTGTATTACTTAGTATACTCAGCATAGTGTTGTTTTCTTTTCGGATGTACACATACAAAACAAAAATATATATTCATTTAAATGTCCAAAGGGCACATTTTGCAAGGCAGCCCCCTGCCCGCAGGCACACAGGCTTTCTCAGTCCATGGGTCTAGAGTCCTCAGCTGCACTTTCTCTTAATGCCATTGCCTCTGCCACAGTCTCTTCAGTCACTACTTTTCTAGGTAGGATCTCACACTCCACTCATGCTCTTCCTTCTTGATGGTCCTGTGGTCCTGAAATAAAAGATTAAACTACTCCTCCCTTTTAGTTACACATCTTCTACATTTACAGTTGTGACAATCATGACTAATCCTGCTAACAGTTAATCACAACCGGATCATAAAATCTTATTCCCTTCATCCCCCATCCACTTTCTCCGGACCCATCTGGACAAGAGGAAAACTATTCAGTGGGCATTCTACCTTATCCTCCTCATTCTGAAAGTAATCACACTCATGGAAGCTGGTAAGCCAGCCACTTTGTGCCTTTATAGGCTCCCATCTTTGATAGTCAGTGTCAACTCAGTACACTGAGGAAACAAGCTTGATCCTTGATATGAAGAATCCTTCCATTTTGGTTGGAATTTTGAGCAACTGCATCCACAAGTAAAGGTTCAGTTCATCAAATTGTACCAATTTACCCTTGCTTACAGTATCACACTTCTCCATCTTCATCTGGTAGAATTCTAGTCAGCTATCCATACATACAATATTTTGATAATTGCTATTTTGAACTTGATGTGAAAAGACAAATGGATTTATAACCAGGAGTTTCAAATATAATAAAGATTTATATTGCCATTGCAGTGATCACATACATATATATTTATAAAACCACTTTCTACTTTTCTGCAGCTAAATTAGAAAACAAAATACAATATCTATATGTATCTAATTCTACTTTTTTGATTTATTCTTAGAGCTCAGGTAATAAAGCATTCAACCTTCATTTTTGTTTGTCTCCTGAACCTCTCATTAAAATTACTTTCTTATTTTGCACAGTAGGGTCTATAGAATTTCACATTTGAAAAACCTCTGTAGATGTCTATAGTCATATTTTAATTTCTGTACTTTATCAATGTCCCATGAAAAGTCTGTTTCATTCACACTTAAAAGTTATGAAGTAATCACTACTATAAAAAAATAAAGTAAGAAAATACATAAAATTGTTTATAGAATGCATAATATAAAAACACCCACTTGTGTGTCCATGTTGAATCCAATGTCACGAAAGGCATTTACAACAACCAGACAATTGTGCAGATGTTGTTCAGGGCCCTTTGGTTGTGTGTACATGTATATAAAATGAGAATCAATCTGGAAAAAAATAATATTCAGACCTTTTAGTAATAGAAGAAAAAATTCTGTGTGTGTATATCTGTTTTCTTTATAGTTCATCAAATAATCTTTAAAATATTAATGTTGGTAAGACCATAGGTGGAATCCTGAACCGCATCCAGAATCTTCTGAGGTGGGAAATTTCCACTTGAAAGGACATGCAGACCCGCCTGGAGGGGCTAGAAGAACAGAAGATACTTCTTGAAAGAAAGACCAACAGGAAAAATACAAAACAATAGAGACAGTCCAACTGATTACTACAAGAACACGTAAGTTGCTTTGCTTGCCCAGGGGACATCAAGGCAAGTGGTCGAGCCCCCTCAGGGCAAACCCCCTTCTAAGACTAAGACTCAATGGGAATGCACACTCTGATTGATGACCACATTTGTCACCATAAGAGAAAATGAGGGGAAAACAGCAATGAAATTGCGAGCTAAGCCCAGGTGGAGACCTGGTTAGTCAGCAGTGTGGCAAGACTTGGGGACTCTTGGGCCCAGAGTCAGTGACATAGCCACAGAGGACTAGAGTGGAGAGTGAAGCATCCAGCTGATAAGAAGAGAGGGCATATGCATAAGAACACCCACACTTGCAGATAATACCCACTTGACCTGGCTTCAATGACTGGATGATCAGAGCTCAAGTAGAAGAAGAAAGAAGAGGAAAATAAGAGCAATCTGATACAATTTGATGAACTTGGCCTACACCTATGGATGCAGTAGCCCAAAAGAGGGAACAAATCTTACAGCAAGGATCATACATAGAGTAGCCAGGGATGGGCAACTTGGACATTGGCTACCCAAAATGGGGAGGGGGAGCTACAAAGGCAAGAAGTGACTGGCTTACAAGCTTTCAAGAAGGAACCTAGATCCAGAGGGTGTGGAGGAAGGTAGAATCTCCACTGAGTAGTATCCAACCTGTCTGGGTGGGGCTGATGAAAGGAGATGGGGATAGGTCTCTTGTGATACAATAGTGAATAATTGTTATCAGGACTGATTGTGAGGGTTGGAAATGTAAAGGTAGATGTTTTGTAGCAAAAGGAGGAGAGTGATTGAGTTTGCAGTCTAGGAGCGGAGGTCCCTGGGACCATCAAGAGAGAAGAGCAGAGAGCGGGACCCTACCAAGAGAAACAGTGATGGCAGAGACAATGACGTGGAGAGATGGAGCGGCTGGAGTGGCTGGGGACTCTAGACCGGGGGCTGGGGGGAGTGGGGAAAGGGAGGTAGGCTTGCAGGGTACACCCTTTGGTTGGTTGATGATGCATGCAGGAGATTGTAACCATGGCAATGAGACAATATATGATAGGATGAATGTAAAGCTAATGTTCTCCCATGTAAACTATCACACATAATTCACAATAAAACATTAAAAAAGTATATTAATGTTGGGCAGTATCAGACCGTTGTACCCAAAATGCAACAATAAACAAAAAGGTCATGTTAATCATTCAGATTCAGGTATTACACTTAATATTAAGAAATTTAAATTAATCATCTTAAAAAAATTTACTTCAAAGTTTAGTTATAAATTTTTAAAAATAATAGTACACAATTCCATGTAAGAATGGTTCTTACCAAAAATGGGCAGTAGGCTGCCATCTGTGCTGCCAAAACAAGGCCATCTAAAAGATCTTTATCAAAATTCACTATCCATTTCTCAGGTGGGATGACACCTGTTAAAAAGATAAGGACAGTTAATCAATGTTCAAAGAAACATTTTACCACTGAAAATAAAATTTTGGAAAAGAAAAAGCATATTTGTTTGGAAATGAAAATCAGTTTTAAATAGTATAAAACTGTAAAGCCTAAGAAAGTTTATACCATGAAAGTTACCTGCAAAATTTTATAGGTAACCGACAGCCATCTACTTTGTTTCTATTTGAAGCATTTTGAAAATATGCATTACCATGTGATAAAAGAAGAGACATCCACTACAAGTATACGATCAGTGCACGAAAGCAAAAACAAATTCCATCTCTATATACTAACAGTAAACAACAGCAATTTTTAAAAAATCAAACACCATTCATAATAGCACAAAAAATTGAAATACTTAGTTATAAACTAGTAAAATATGTTCAAGATAAATATGCTGAAAATTATACAACATTAATGAATAAAAACCAAAAAGTAAATTAAGAAGAGAGATATGCAAATCACATGAAACGCAAATTTTTTGTCCCGGTGTGGTGCTGTAGGATCAGCACTTGGTTGTGAACCACAAGGTCGGCAATTCAAATCTACCAGCTGCTCCTTGGAAACCTTATACAGGTTTGCTATGAGTGGGAATTGACTCAACAGCACTTAGCAACAACAGAATACATAAATAACTCTCAAAAGTCAACAAGAAAACAAACAATCCTATTTAAAAAGTGGTCAGGTGATCTGAACAGATACTTCACCAAAGAAGACAGGTGAATGGCAAATAAACATATGACATATTCTGTGGTACGGTACATTTATACAATACAATACTGTTATTTGTTGTTAAGTGCCATGGAGTTGGTTTTCTTCCACTCATAGTGACCCTGTTTCCAGAATACTACTCAGCAGTATTGTTGTTAAGTGCTGTTGAGTTGGTTCCGACTCATAGTGACAGAGGAGCAGCTGGTGGGTTTGAACTGCCAACCTTGCAGCTAGCAGTCCAGTGCTGATCATACAGCACCACACCAGGAGTCCATATACAACTGTTGCTGTTGTTGTACCAAGAGTTGACATTACCAACAAAAGATATAAAGCACTCATTGTACTACTATGGTGGTGGGGGATGTTTGCCTTGGAGTTGGTTCTGACTCATAGCAACCCTGCATAGGGTTTCCAAGGCTGTAAGTCTTTACTGTACTGCATGTCTTTACATGCAGTGCGTGGGATCATGCTTTATTACAAAAAAGACTCTAATCAGCTTCAATCTTAGACATCAGTCTCCCATGACCAACAATTCACTCCTCATAGCTAGTGCAGGACAATTGCTCTGTGGCCACATGCCCTATGCTACAGATAGAGACACCCAGCTCCCTCCCCTCCAGGAACAGATATAGAAGTGAGGTAGACAAAATGCCATATGGTGCCTGCAAGTGTGCAAGAGATAGAGAAAGCTACTGTGCTTCCAGAACAGGGAGAGGTGCGTCATGAGGGAGAAGGGACATGAGGAGAGTAGAGAGTGACCTAGTTCCCTGTCTATATATCAGGGAATGTTCTGGGTCCAAGGCCCTTGCTTAGGTGGGTCAGATGGGAAACAGAGGCAGGGCATCCTCCCAACAATTATATATAGTTTATTTTGAAGCTGCAAAGCATTTTCATCAGGGCTCTAACAGTGACAGAAAGTTGTCTTTCTCTGTATAGATTAAAGTGTACCACTTTCTCAGGACTCTTTCCAGTCTTTACTGTTAAAATTCAGTGAGTTCTATGGAGAAAAAAAATCCCCTCAAGGATGTTAGCTTCCCCAAACCTGTGACCTCCCCCAAAGTTGCAAACTTTTTGGCTAGTGTATACTTGTTGTTGTTAAGAGTCTTCAAGTTAATTCTGACTCATAGCAACCCTGTATAGGGTTCCCGAGGAGCAGCTGGTGATTTTGAACTGCTGGCCTTGCAGTTCAAGCTGACCTTTTGGTCCAATGCTTAGCCTACATTGCCACTCCAGGACTCCTTGACATCTACCAGTTCACAAACCATTCTAATTCTATTCTTCTTTCAAGGGTTCAGTTATATCTACCACAGTGGATCACAGCTAGCATTTCATTTCTTTTTGTAAGCATCTGTCACAGAGTGGCTCTGGAACCTTAGTTTTCTGGTGGGGTTCAAGAAAAGTTGCGATTTTACCATTAATACAACAACTTCTATTATTGCTGTTGTAAAAGGTTGCAACACAGCTCTCTAGATCCCCAAGCAGAAACCAGTAGCACCTATTTTCGTGTAATCCATCACAGTTTTGAGACTCTTTTGATATTACTTGTCAGTCATCACTTGGCCTAGTTGTTACTGAAGCCTGCCTCTCAGTGAGGCTAAAGTGGCAATGACTTTATAAGAAAATGTTGGGTAGAAGAGCAAAAGGTCAAAGCTCTTCTCAAATCTCTACTCCCACAGCCAGTATTCAGTATTTTATACCCCAAGCTGTTGTCAATCCCCTGTCAACAACAACAACAATAACAATAGAGGCACCTTAGAGGAAAGACCTGGTGATTTGCTTCCAGAAAAACTCTATAGAAACTGTGAAACACATAGAGTTGCCATGAGTTGGAATCAATCAACTTGAAGGCAGCTTTTGTGTGTGTGTGTTGATAGGAGCTGGCCCTTCACACACAGCTAGACCATGTTATCTTCTTTATTGGATGTAACAGTTTCACAGTACACAGTATACTAACATCATATAAAGATTATTGTGATGAGGTGAAACAAAATAACACCACTTCATAATTTTGTCTAAGCACAGACCAAAACAATTTCACTGTGTAAATCACAAAACACCAAACATCTTTTCCTGGCTAATATAAAAAAATCTGCTGCTTCATTAATAGTTGTAGATTCAGCCTCTCTGTCGTCTTTCCAACTTCTACATAAGATTGATTAAGATACACAATTAGAATAACAGTTGTTTCTGACAGCATCAAATCAAGGCCAACTCTGGCCGCCTTGAATTCTTCACCAAATCACTCAACCAATAACCAACTCTATAATAAACCTTACCTAACACTTTACAACAACAACAAGACACTTTTTACTGTGAAAAGCCCCATGGCGTCTCGTGGTATGTGGTCTTCCTCCCTCCTTAAAATTGGAATTAAATCGAACTTGTTCAAACACAGGCATGTTCCTGGTGGGAACTGGCATGAATATGAGAAGGAGAACGTGGTCTGGCTGCTGGTCAATTTTTATATCCTTCATTTTCCATGACATAGGGTTATGACCTTAGTTCCTCATGGTTTATTATACTACACTGTTTAAGTATTGGGAACAATTTGCCTTTCTGTTTTCAAATTTCTTTTGTCTGCTTGGCATTTCTCTGAATTTAGTGTTGCCCTTCACGTTAATCACATCTTCTACATATTGACTGACAATCACATTCTTGAAGTAACATAGCCTAAATATAATATAAAATTTATATTTTTATCCCATTTGTCCTATTGTCCATATGTACTCTAATCTTGTAAAATTGATTATCAATATTTAATGCTGAACTTATATTGGAACTGGAAAAAATACAAAAGCACTTTATAAATAATTACTACTTTCTGGTTCAATGAAATTGAAAATTGCAAATATTTGATATAACTCAAATGCATACAACTTTAAGACATTAACACCATATAAGTTTTTAAAATATATAAAACTACTAAAACTACTACAAGATCCCAAACATGTAGTAAATATTCTTCACTTTAACAAATTCATAAAATGACCATTTAAAATTTTACTCAGAAACTAGTGATATCCTTATGTCAGGGGTAGGCAACGTCCTGCCCACGGGCCATATAAGGCCCACGAAATCATTTGGTCTGGCCCTGCCAAGCCAACAGCAGTTCCAGCCATCACATAGTTGTTGTTGTTAAGTGCCTTTGAGTTGGTTCCGCTCCGTAGCCACCCTGTATAGGGCTTCCTAGGAACAGGTGGTGAGCTTGAACTGTCAACCTTGCCATTCAAACTGACTTTGCAATCCAGCACAGTAATCCACAGCGCCATACCAGTGCCATCACATTGTTGTTGTTGTTAAGTGTCGTTGAGTCGACCCATAGCGACCCCGTATAGGGTTTCCGAGGAGCAGCTGGTGAGCTTGAACTGCTGACCTTTCAGCTCAAATGACTTTGCAGTCTGGCACATTAGCCCACAGCGCCACACCAGGACTCCTGCCATCACATTGTTGTTGTTGTTAAGTGCTGTTGAGTCGATTCTGACCCATAGCGACCCTGTATAGGGTTTCCAAGGAGCAGCTGGTGAGCTTGAACCATTGACCTTGCAGTTGATCCGACTTTGCAGTCTGACGCATTAGCCCACAGTGCCACACCAGGACTCCATCACATTAGGGGTAAGTTGATTAAATGTTTGACCAAATATAGCAGGCTAATTTTTAAGTTGATAATTTTGTATGGTCCACAAATGGTGTTACACATTTTGGCATAGAAAAGGTTCCCGATCCCTGCCTTATATGGTAAATTAAATAAAATATCAAATAACATATAAATAGCAACATCAGTTCATAATCACTACAGTTCTTTATCAAATAATGTTAAAATAAACTTAAGTAAAGTGGTACAATATCTGCAGAACTGTGGTTCTTTAAATACACAGTTCAAAAAGTCCCAATTTCTGGATTTTTAAAAGACTGTAGTCAAATGAAATCACTTAATCCTTTCGGAAATTCCACTTTAATTATACAAATATTTTGCTGCTACTCTCAGAATCACCAGGTGATTGCAGGATGATAAACTTTCCATTAGTGATCCAGTGTAGGAATGAAAACAAAGGGTTCAAAGGACTAACAGAGAAGACACGTTATCACAAGACTTGAAGGTATCAACTGAAGAACACATTGTCACTTATGTGTGAAAAAAATGGCCATTAAGGAAAAACCTTAGCTATAGTCTTAATTGGGAGCATGCTAGCACTGGAATGAGAACCACAAAGTCAGTGGTTCAAGCCCAATAGCTGCTCCTCTGGAGAAAGATGAGGCTTTCTGCTCCTGCAAAGATTTAGTCTCAGAAAGCCTATATAGGGTATTATGAGTGTGTTAAGTTATTGCATTGTATACCAATTGCATATATTGGTATACAATGCAATAAGCTACTGGGAACAGAGTATATATAAATAAATATACCTCCTGGCAAACACTGTAAAGGGCACTTTATTCACAGGAGACAAGTGTCCATTTATTAAATGAGAAATGTTTTTAACTTTCATAATACTTAGAACAAATCATCACATATTAGGAAGTATCAAATACTATTTGTTTTTTTCTTCAACTCTGGCTCCTAGCAACCATCTGCAGTTAGGAAAGGAAAGTTCTGCAAACTGTGATTGATTGCCTAGCACCTTGTATGGCTAAGTCCATAGAAGGTCTAAGGCTAACAGTATGCGTGCAGTGCTAAATTCAGGTATGCTTCCTATCTCTGTCCACCCCAGTCAGTGAACTTACTATTGTCACACCAAAATGATGACTTTACCATAGAAGTCTGCAGCAGCTCAGCCATCCTCCACGACTTTGAGCTTGACAAAATCAAGTCCTGAAATACATGCCTGGATGGTTGAGCCCCTGAGCCAACTACTTCAATTTTATGATTCTCCTACTCTCCAACACGGAGTCCCTGAGAGGTACAAATGATTAACAGCTGAAAGGCTGGTAGTTCAAATCCCCCTAAAGGCTGCTTGGGAGACAGACATGGTGATCTGCTTCTGAAAAGTTACAGCCTTGAAAACCCTATGGAGGAGTTCAGCTCCACAGTAACTAACAATAGCACTCTGTCGGGCTAGACCCTTAGCTGCCATGCCCTTCCTAGTTCTATCTTTACTAAAAAATTCTCATGAGAAAATTGTAACTAATGTGGCCTAATCAAACATTAAATAGGAACAAATTTTTAGTTCCACTGCAAAACTCTCAAGGGCTTCTGAAAAATCCATAAACAATGTAAAATGTTTTATCTGATACCTCAGTTCACTTGCTCAGGAACAGAATGTCCAAAAAGAAAGTTCTTGCTGACAACTAATCAGTTTATTTGGCTTCTAGGAGACTACTAACATTCTCCTCTTCCTACTTCTACTTCTACCACTCGGTTTTTGTTTTTTCTTTCAGAGAATTACCCTCTCCAACTCTCTCACTATGGTTCTTTATATTCATGTGGTTCCGTCTCCCATTGACAACTTCAATGCATCATAACCAAAATGGAGCTCAAAACTTCAAACCAGTTCATTCCAGTTTGACCTCTGATGAGAATTTGAATTTCCACCTCAAAAAATACTGAATCAGAATCAACATTTTACCAAGATTTCTAGAGGAATTGCAAGTTACTGAAGCTTATGAATTTCATGAAGGATTTCATCTACTTTTACAGTCACTAGAGCAGTTGTCATTGTTGCTAAGTGCCTTCTAGTCAACTTGATCTAGGGCTGGGAATCACCCCAAGAGTTTCTCATTCATTAGCTATGAGGGAAGGCACTATCCTGCCTCTCTCCACAGTACAATATTGGGAGATAGAAATCGGAGACACTGAGTTTCAATTTTTCACACTGTAAGTAAACTTAATTTAAACATTTCTCAGGGATTGCTCCTAATTAAACTTGCTACATGCTAAATACAGAAGTGTCTCCTTCTTTCAGCTCAACCATTTAATTTCACCCCTATATTTGTATAAGAAACTACAAACTGGTAAACTAATATATAAGCATGTGTCTATTTATTATTTGTTTATTGAACCATTATTTGGTTGTTGCTTTTGATAAGTGTCATTGAGTTGGTTCTGACTCATAGCGACCCTGTACAGATTTTCCTAGGAGCAACTGGTGAGTTTGAACCACCAACCTTGTGTCTCAAACTGGCTTTGCAGTTTAGTGCTTACCCTAAAGTGCCACACCAAGACTCCTAGGTGCATACTAATTTCCAGGAATTTTTTTTTTTTTATGCACTGTGAATGAAGCAGTGAAAAACAAACAAACAAGACTATTCCTATTACGAAGTTAAAATTCTGCTGGAAGATTTTTAACAGGTGTGGTGCTGTAGGGTAAGCACTAGATTGCTAACTGCAAGGTGGGTGGTGCATCCCTATACAGGGTCTCTATGAGTCAGAACTGACTTAACAGCACCTAACAACAATATGTTGGAAAAGGTGCTATTTTAGAGAGAGTACTGGGAAAACACTGAGCTGCTAACTGCAAGTTCGGTGGTTCAAACACACAAGCCACACCATGGGAGAAAGATGGGGCTATCTACTCCTTTAAAGATTTACAGTCTCGGACACCCTAAAGACTTCTATTTGTCCTAAAGGGTTGCTATGAGTCAGAATTGACTGTATAATGGCAGTGGGTGTTGAGAAAACTGTTCACATAAGATGACATTTGAGAAGGGACCCGGATGAAGTGAGAAAGGGAACTATGAAAGTATCTGGAGTACTAATGCTCCAAGTAAAATTCCCACTGTCACTGAGTCGATTCCGACTCATAATGACCCTAAATAAGGTTTCTGAGACTGTAAATCTTTAGAGGAGCAGTCAGCCTCACTTTCTCATATGGAGCTGCTGGTAGATTTGAACTGCCAAACTTGTGGTAAGCGAACCCATACCTAGCCTACAGTAATTAAACTTATCTACTTGTCTTAGTTCATGGACCTAACATATGAGCCTAATATAACATGCTTCCCCCCCCCAATTTCCTGAGCATGTACAGTATTTTTTAATGTCAAATTTTAACTTGATCTTAACTAATTATATATAAGGTTTGCACTGTGTGACTTAAATCTAATAATTTATACAGTTGAAAATGTCACCAATGATAATGAGGCTATCTTTCATTTCTAGAACATGTCTACATGCTATTTATCCTGCATTCTTCCCAATAACTTGAATAAGCATCTTTTATTACTTCTTTTTTACATGTAAGAAACTGATAATGAAAATATTAAGGATCTTCTTTTTTCAGAACAGAGAATAAAGGCTAGAGCTTGGTGCAGAATCTATTTTGATTTTGATTCCTTTGTCATGGCTCCTTCAGCATTGTCATACTATAAAATACAATGATTTATTTAAAGAAAAAAAATAACTTCTCACCTGTACGACAGTTCTTCCATACAGCATGTCGGGTATTCTCATAATTTGTATTCAACCAACTAAGCAAAATCCTTTCAGCAGCAGAATATACGTTGCTAGTTACAAAACAAGGGTTGATTTTTGGTGCATTTTGCACTTGTATACCAGGTGTAGCTTTGGGACTGTGTGGGGCAACTCGAGATAAAATCAACACCTGAAATTTGGAGAGAGAGAAAACTTTTACCAGGCCCAAATGCCATAATAATAAATTAACAGTTGAAGAGTAAATGTAAGATCTGAAAGCTAGATAAATAAATGAAGACAACAGTATTTTCTTGTTAAATGAATCCATTCAGGAAATGCTCACATTAAATTCCATACTTTTTGCTTTGACAACATTTACTCTATAAGTCACCATTTTATCGTTTACATATATATGTAAATATATACATATATACATAAATATATGTGTGTATATGTGTAAAGCCCCAAACCTGTTGCCATGGAGTTGATTCCAAGCCATGATAGCCCATGTATTACAAAGTAGAATTGTTCCCGGGGGGGTTTTCTTGGCTGTAGCCTTTGTGGAACCAGGTTACCAAGCCTGACTTCCATGATAGTACTGGGTGGGATCGAATCACCAACCTTTAGGTTAACAGTCGAATGCTTAACCATTTTGTCTCTCAGGGACTTAATGAAATTTATAAAACCCAAACCAAACAAACAAACCCACTGCCATCAAGTCTACTCCAACTAATAGAGATTTTATAAGATTGAATAGAAATGTTTCTAGTATTCCAGAGCCTCCATCTTTATGGAAGCACATAGTCTCATCTTTCTCCTGAGGAGCAGCTGATAGATTTGAATCTCCAGCCTTGTAGAAAATAGCTCAACCGTTAGCCCACTGTGACACCAGGTTCCTTCTGAAAAGTACAAGATGTGGCTTACTACCCAAATTAAAAAAAAAAAAAAAATACTGCATATAAGGACAGATCTGATAGAATGCCAATTCATTTCAAACAAACGAATTCGAAATAAACTTACTTCATTGTCAGCTAACGTATCTTATAGAAATCAAATGTTAAAACCCAAAGTCATAAGGTATCAAGTCAAATATGATTTTAAGATCAATATTTATTACAGAGTTTTTTTTTAAAGGTGACAAAATATACAGAATTTTGTAACTTGGGGTACTGTAGGACCAGCACCTCAAATTACAAAATTCTGTATATTTTGTCAGCAGTTCAAATGTACCAGCTGCTCCTCGGAAATTCTATACAAGGTCACTATGAGTCAGAACCGACTCTATGGCACTTAACAACAACAACATATTGTAACTCAAATGTATAAAATAAATCAAGCAGTATTAAGTGAAAACTCTGTATCTCAGCTGGTTGCTTTAAAAAGCAAATGAACACAACCACTGCCGTTGAGGCAATTCCGACTTATAGTCACCCTATAGGGTTAAGGAGAAAGCTTCATCTTTCTCCTGTTTTGAATTGCCAACCTTGTGGTTAGCAGTCATGTGCTTATCCCACAGTGCCACCAGGGCTCCCTGTAGTATAGTACACAGCAACTTAAAGTGCCGGTCAACTGCTATGTCATTTATTAGAGGTTCTGGATAAGATGAACAGCTTGTAATCTACAACCTTATTAGATAGATAGATAGATAGACAGACATGTGAAATCACTAGAAAGTGAATTTTCCAATTCCATAGATTAATCATAAATATATTTGATAGCATCTAGCAACGTCAGTTTGGGCCGTGAAGGTCGGCAGTTCCAACTCACCATCTGTTCCTTAGAAACCCTGTACAGGGTAGCTATGAGTTGGATCCCGACTCGATGGCACTTAGCTACAACAAGCAACAAGCAAGGATAGGGGAATCTTGGTGTGGCACTGTCGGATAAGCACTAGACTGCTAACAACCCACTCAGCAGTTTAAAATTACCAGTGGGTCCTCAGAAACTCTGTACAAAGTAGCTGTGAGACGGAACCCACTTGATGGCACAAAAGCAACATCAGGATAGGAGTGTGATGGTTTTGTATGATAGACACTGGACTGTAAACCACAAGGCTAGCAGTTCGAGCCCATTAGCCACTCCATGGGGAAAAGGCGAGCGTTTCTACTCCTGCAAAGATTCACAGCCTTGGAAACCCTATAGAGGGTCACTATAAGTCAGAAGCAAATCAACAGAACTTAACAACACAATAATAACAGCATAAGTAAAGCAGGTGATCTGCTACTGTAAAGATTACTGCAAAGAAAATCCTGTGGAGCAGCTCTGCTGTGTAACACATGGGGCCACAATGAGTCAGAAATGACTTGACAGCAACGGGTTGGTTGATTGATGTTAAATGCTGTTGAGTCAGTTCTGACTTATAGTGACCGAGGAGCAGCTGGTGGGTTTGAACCACCGACCTTGTGTTTAGCAGTCCAGTGTTTATCCAACAACACCACACCAGAACTCCAAAGGGTTGGTTATAGATATATAAACATATGTCAAGATTTTCTCATCCTTAAACTGTAATAAATATTTCTCAGAACATGTGGGCATGGACACCAAAACTGGAGTGGTATGTGTGGTAGAGCTACTATTGGTACCATACCCATATTCCCTCAGCATTAACCTTTACATTCCAAAGGTTGTTCACTGTGAATTCCTGCAAGTTATCTCTGCTGGTGGGCTTTTCCTGGCCCATGGGAGATCACCTAGCCCTCAGCAAGGCAAGCTAGTAGTGTTAAGAGGATAAACATTTCCAGAAGTCTCCCCAAAGCAAAAACGAACAGGGGATTGTTAGAGAAATGCTCCCACTTCCTCACCCCTCAGCTGGGATAAATGTGAGATGTGTTTTTCACTGTCTCCAAGAGTAGAACTGAGCCTCAGATGACCATACTGAAACCTGCTTGGAACCATATCTGTGTACCATCATCCTCATCTTCTCTCCACTTTACTACCTGTGCAAATTCTCCATTTGAGTTGTTACTTTGAAAATTTTGGGGGAAATCCAATCGAAGACAAATATTTTTAAAGCCAAGCGTATATTGATTAGGAGTCCTGGTGTGGGCTGTAGGTTAATGTGCCAGACTGCAAAGCCATTTGAACTGCAAGGTTGGCAGTTTAAGCTCACCAATCAGCTGCTCCTCAGAAACCCTAGGAAGGGTTGCTATTGGGTTGGAATCAACTCGATGGTGCTTAACAACAACAACAACATAGGTTAATTATAACTTTCAACTATTTGTTCACTATAATTTTACAAATGTCATATCTATACTATGTATTGACCTAAATGGTCACAGATTTAAGATGATTATTAAAAGTCCTATGATTGACCTCAAGCTGTCCTTTTATTTACTACTATGGCAACTCTGTTAAAATTCCATGAAAAAAAAAAAAATCATTTCCAAGTGTTAGCTATTTATCTGTCACACGTCTAGTTCAGTATAACCATTCCACAAATGTGAATTGCATTTTGATAGAAGTCTAACAGAACTTCTTTCTTCTTTATTTCTAACAGGTGATCTAGCGCTCCTAAATTTCAAATAGCATGTTGTATAAAAATGCAATTAAATGCCTTTGAAAAACCCCCACACCCCATTCTCAGGCAATCCTAAATGATGAATCATCTGAGCACTGCTGGAAGGAATGCTTGGAGCTAATAACCTGAGCTGGCTCTGGATTCATCTGTCATCTGTCACCTTCACTCTGCAAGTGAGATAAAAGCTGAAAGTGGCCCTCAACCGAGAATATGTACAGGACCAGTTACCGCCTTGAGTATTTCACTCTACAGCAGTGCTCCTCAGATGATTGGTGGTGAAAGACTTGTTTGCTTTTATTCTGTCACAGAATAATCGTTTTGTAAAACACTATAAAATCAAATTACTAAAATAATGAATTGAAGGATGAAAACACATACAAGTACAAAGCTTCATCGCATGCGAATCCAAATATACCTTGGGCAAGAAGTGTTAGTATTTGTTGCTTAACATTCAAATCACATAAATAGAAGTTCAAGGAAAAGAATGAAGAATTACAGAGACCAGGAGCCCCTGTTAGCTATGCCAAATAATTTGTGAACTGGGAGTAAATCTGACTTGCTGTTGCTGATTTTGTTGTTATAAATGCCAGCTCATAGCAACTCATATCGACCTTGTATAGGGTTTCCAAGGTACAGCTGGTGGGTTTTAACTGCCTGCCTTGTGGTTAGCAGTCCAGTGCTTCTCTTATAGCACTAAACCAGGATTCCATAATCAGGTTTAGTGATCTGCAATTAGGAAAGTCTTGTCCTCACCAGAAATTGTTTGGTTGTGTTTCTAATATTTGTTAAAGGTCTGGTTCAAAAAATGTGGGTGATAGCACCCCTTTCAAAGCCAATAGATTGGCCACATGATGGAACATAGCCTTTGGCTAACCTGTCACTGTAGGATAATCTGAAGACCCTGAAAACAATAATGATAAAGAAAGTATTATTATTATTACGAATAATAGAAGTAAACATATTGAATGCTATGCCATCGCTGTCACATGCACTCTCATACCACATGAATTTTGTCATTATATTTGGGTTATTGTTTTTCAGTGACAAGCTTTTAAACTTAGTTTTTTTATTTATTTTAACCTGTTTTGCCAATTGGCACACAAAACATAATGATAGTTATTTTTTTGTGTTATTAATACAAACCTATGGTTTAACTTTGTCTATTTAGTTGGTTGGCTTTGTTAAGAATTATCTTGAATAGTCCTATGGTGATGGGAAAGAAAGAATCACCAATTTGTGACCTTTCTTTTAGACTCAAGGATGCCTACCTAAGGTTTTGACACTTGGTTGAAGTCTCCTTACATCATGAATTCAAGGAGGTCTTGTCTGGCACTATAAGACAAGCACTGGACTATTACCCTCAAAGTTGGCACAGTTCAAACCCAACAGCCACTCCTCAGAAACTCTATACTGACTCCATGGCACTTAACAATAACAAACTGATAGTACATCACAGTCAAGTTAATTGAAAAGTCAGTTGAAGACTGTATTGGACCAAGCTCTTATACCTCACTGTCAAGACTGTTGACTAAAAAAAAATTTGAAATGAACTCCCACTTGAAGGCTTCCCTAAATTTAAAGGATCCTTGGGGTCACTGGGTGGTACAAACATGCTTGGCTGCAAACTGAAATGTGGCAGCTCAAGTCCACCCAGAGGGAATCTACTTCCAAGA